AATACTGGATTATATTATTGATTTGGGGTTTAAACTGGCATCATATCAGCTATCAGCACTTTAGATCATTATCTACTTTCAGTAGTTTTACAGGTCAGGGTTTACTTAATCTGAAATCAAGAACAGAAGAACTGTCTATCAACATGTTCACAACAGAAGCTGAAAGACTATTCTTTATTCTTTCTTGCTGTGCCTCCTGTACTCGAGCACAACGTCGTGTGTGGACTGTCTGCCTTAAATGTTGATGCTCTACGACTCTTTTAAATAACACTGAGAACATTCAGTTTTTGCATTCCTTTTCATCGTATTACCTTGGGAGCTGATACTCTGAGATACAAAGTGCCCTCAGCTGTTACTGGAACAAGAATTAAGACTCCTGGTCTGACAGGAACAACTTTGAATGGAATTTATGTAGTCCTACAGTACCGTCAGCGTAGTGTGCGCTACATCACACACTGAACCACAAACACGTGGTTACAATTACCCCTTCTGACCCTGCCTTCTGATTAAATAAGAGGCAAGTGAATTAATTGTTAGAGAATAAATTAACCTAGAACGACTGTACTGTCATTTTGATATGCATGTAAATATGCTTAAACTGGCAAAGTCATCTTGCTACAAAACTATCCTCATTGGCAGTGTAGAATGTTAATTACTCCATAGGAATCTATGTGCAGAAATAAAACCAAACAGCTGAGATGTGTTGTCTGCAGTACAGTATGGCTTTCTGCTCTAAAAGTCTATTTGGGGAAAAAAATAAAAAGAAAAAAAAAGTTAAGGGATCACTTTAGTTTTCAAAGTGCAGATATTCTGGTGTGGGGGATGCGTGATTACTTTTTTTGTACATTTGAGGGTTATCTGTATTAAACCTTATATATGATGGATTGCTACAGCCCTTGTACTGAAATGTGATTTAGATTTGCCACCGTTACTTACACAGTTATGGCAGAAATAGATTTTGCTTAGATTTGTGCGTGTGCATGTTTTGCATTGTCATTTTTCTTACACAGATACAACACATCTTAGAGATTTAGTCATGACTGCGCAGACTGCCCAGAACTGAATGTTTCTCATCAGAACAGTTGCAGAGGAAAGCCCTGGCAGTAGATCTGCCAGACAGTGGCTGCAATATGCTGACAGAACATCCTACTACAGCCACGTTACTGAATTCTGACAGAGTAATTAGGAATACCGTGTAAGAGTGTGAAATTCAGAAGCTGGTGTTCACAATTCTAGACACGGAAGGAGCTCAGGTGTTTTACAGGGCTGGTATTAATCAAGAGGAGTCACATCCTGCATGTAGTAACCGGTATTTGTTCATGCACTTGTGGTGCCATGCAGCATTATGTAAGACAAGTAAGTTTACAGGCAAATTTTATTCAGTGTTACAAACAGTTAGCAAGTCATTGTCATAAACTTAGCAGCTGTATCTTTAAAAAAAACATCCGTTTGTTCAGCTGCTCTTTACAGAATTGTAGCTTCTAATCCAGTAATGAGAGCCTTGCAAAACCAGCCCATTAAAAAGCTGAGGCAACATTAGAAGCAATCACAGTTTAATAGAGACATTTCTTTTCAAGGCAACTCTAAATTGACTAGCAGGAGTTATCTTCAAGGAAGCAAATAATCAAAGCAGATGTTTCAATATTAGACTTCCCTGTTACGTAATCTTAAACATTCTGATGCCTGAAAAGCATAGGCACCATAGTTGGAAACCAGGCACAAGCTGCTGAACTGTTCTCAAGGCAGAGAAAATGCAGTCAAAGAATATAATTAACTGGAAGGACATTATGTAATGAAAACACAGTAAAGCTCACTGATGTATACAGTCATTTGGATGGCATCTTCAGTGTATTATAAGTTTAAAGCAAATTACATTAAAACTGGAAAAAAATATTCTTCCACTTATATCTACTGAATATTTTGTTAAATTTTTTTTGTTGTGGCCTATTAAATTGCTTTCTGATGATTTCTAGGCCATAATAGAGGTTTTCTTTTGAGAGAGACATGGAACTGAGTTGCACATAGTATATATGTGGCCAAGAGCATCCTTTAAAATCTGAACCTGAAATAATCTCAAGTATTCCTTCTATTGTGATGAATAACATGCAGAAAAGAGACACCTGTGTCATTCTGTAGTGTCTGAATATATAGACTTTTAGGTTCAGAATGCATAAATATATATGTAGAATTCTAGCCAAAAAAAAAGCTATTCAAGCTCTGAGAGTGAAATCTCAGTAAAAAGCAGGGAATGGTTAACAACTATACAATCACACTATTTTTATAAAAAGTACAGCTCAGATATTCAAAAACAGCCTCAAATAAATTATAGTAATATAAAAATGTAAAAAGGAACCAAAGCATTGCCATTTGTATTGCCAAAGAAGGCACTTTGTACTTTGAAGCACAGGAAAGTAAATCCCCAAAAGAACCACCCATACTTTTTTAAAATTAAGGATGTAGATATTTTCAAAGCAGATTTTGATGTTTAAGAGGACAGATTTGTTTTGTTGATTGAGAAATTTGTATTAGTAGCACAGGCTTTTTTCCAGATATTTCTTCCACAGTGCTGCTTGCAGTAGAAATGACGCTAACCTCGTAGGTGTTGCTCTTCTTATTTTCATAGCCATTACTGTGTCTTAGCATCTCATTTCGTGAAAAGAAGAAGATGGACACCTCTTCCTAGGGCCCTCTTCATTTAAGCACTACTTTACTAAATGCAAATTATGGCAATCAGGGCGTCAGTTTATGTTTTGCCTTTCTATAAGAAACCATGATGCCTTTGTATTTGTTGTTTGCAGTCCTAAAATCAATTCCATACGTTTGAATGCCATATGTTTTGCACATTGTACTGTATATATATTAAGGCATATTGTATTTTTATATGTGTAGTACATTTATCAGATTTTTTGTACATAGTGGCAATATTGTAGCTACTGAGGAAATGTTTGATATTTCAGCATTTTTGCTAAGTGTCTCAAATAAAAAAAAAAGGAAAACAGTTAAATTCTTTGCTTTTACTTATTAAAAATGAGAAATGCATTTAATAACAAGCTAAAATTCTGGATTGTATGAATCAGAAATATTTGGGCAACGTTATCAAGTACCTTTCCTGCAAAAAGGAACAAGAATGATACAAGGGCTTAGACAAACTCCAAAAGAATGGTGGTTTTTCTTCAGAATCAGAGAGAACAGAACATGTTTAACAATGAAGAACTCTTGAACTCCCAACGTTTCGGTTTACTGGGTTTTGTTAGTTTAATTCCTTTGCTTCTATTCTTGTCTCAAGAAATTGAGAACCCTGACATAGGTACTCTGATGTATAGAGACACTGGACTACCTTAGTATCAGCCAGAACAAAAGCATGGTGCAGCATTTTCCTTTGCTTTCAGTAAGGTACTTCTGTCATAAAAAGAGAAGCCGGAGGTACTGCAGGAGTTCTGATCTGTGCAGCAGGCACAGAGGCACATGATGCTCTTCAATAGAACCGAAACAGAGCAGCTTCAGAAGAATTAAAACAATTGCAAACAATTACCTTGCATATGGCTCATGAGCCCTGCAGACCTTACTTCACAACAAGATCTTTTTTCCATTACGTGCAGCTAACGTTCACCATACCCCAAAACTCATCTGCCTCCTGGTTCATTAAAGAACAAGTTGGACAAATCTATCCTATTTATTCTTGATTTTCCTAAGTTCTTTGAAAGTTTTCAAGATGTGCTGGATTGCTGGGTTTCATATTTGCATTTTGTATTCTGCTCAGCTTGTTTTGAAGCAAACACCTGCATGCACTTCTTTGGGAGAAAGAACAACGAGCTGTTCAGTGTGCACAAGATTCTTTCTGTCATGAAGCTGCTTCATTTAAGTACTTACTATGATACTTTCTCACATGGAGGCAACCTCCATGCTTGATCACCAACCATTTCCTCATTAAAATCTGTGCGACGCTGATGACCTCAGAATTTGGAAAAGTGTTACAAAATCAAATTATTATTTAAGTACCCATAAAACTGAACAGTATGCCCTGTAAATTTGCTAAAATACTTTTTCTGTATGGATTTAATCCATTATAAAAGTCTGTAGGCTATATGTGCTATCAACTTACCTTCAGATACCATGCTTCAAACACAAACAGTGGAAAACCAGTGCAGCACTTTTTCACTATGCATTTGTACATTGCAGCATTTATAGTCACAGTGTATCAGTAATATATCTCTCATTGGGTCCCAACTTGCAATTCTGTGTTTTAATAATTTTACACAGACCTAAAAATAAACATGCACTCCTCCCTATGGGAATTGCTGAGTCTCTGCCCTAAGCAATAATTGAGCACCTGGGGAAGGACGCAGCCCTGGGAGCACAGGTGGCAGCAATTCCAAAAACCCGGTTCCAGCCCTCCCTGCCCTCATTAAAGGGCTGGCTGCCACAAGGGAAAGGTTTCTATCTGGAGATCCCTCCTTGTGGAGCGTTTTGTGAGCCCCAGGCCTTGGGACAGGTAAGCAAACCTTTGTTGAACTGGGTGGTGACCAGCAGCCTTTGTTGGTAATTCAGAACTGGTTCTCTGCTCTCACCTCCCCCTACACCCTCCAACTGTGTTCGCATTAACATGATTGGGTAAACACCAAGACGAGGCTGGATAAGGTTGAGATGATGCTGAATGAACTTTTCCACAAGCTATAAACCCTGGCTTTCAATAAAAACTCTACAAGTTAACTATGCTCTAAAAGCAGCTATCATGACATGCATCTTTATAAATGCTATGTACTCCTGCCTATTAGCTAACTGCTTGTTACACAACTGTTGCTAAGGAGTGTTGGATTTCTTAGAACATTTGCACCATCTCAAGTCAGGCTTCTCCTCGATAGCAGAGAAGTCCCTGTTTCTCCACCCCTGCAGTACACTCTGCAGCCCCACTAACAACTTTTTAAAAGAGAATCAAGGTAGCAAACTAGAGGAACACCTATCACCCACAGGGTTTGAGGTCTTTTTTTTCCTCTGCTTACCTCTAAACTACTTGATGATGAAGCTCCAGTCTCCTCTGCAGAACAAGGACTGCTGTTCCATTCTGCCATAGCACCACATCAATTCTGAGTCCCTCCAAGAAACCTGTGTTTAATTAAAAGTGAAGAGTGAATGTTCTCTCATAAAGCTAGGACAAAGTCTCAGCACCACTAACTGATGGCTGAGGAGCACACCAGCAGCCTCACAGCATCTTCACCAATACAGAATTTGTGTAATTGTGTAACTGTATGAATACGTATCTTATCAAGAGTTGGGAGGATTTTTAGGCAGGCCCAGTCTTGTACATTAAAACACAACAAAGACCTCTCCTAAGGCAGCAACAGCTCCAACTCATAAGAATGACACATAGGAAGGAAAAAAAAATGCCAATTTTCTCCTTTTGGCAAAGTCCCATTATCTTTTCAGTGCCAAAGTCTTGAAGACTTTCCTTTAGTAATTTGGGTAGTGTTTTAAAGCAGGTTCTGTCAGAAAAGCACACAACATAATGAAGACTTGGGATAAAGAATGAGGGTTTTTAGAAAGAGTTCAAACAAGGGCAATGACCACTGTAAAATACACTCTCAAAGACTTTTTTCCCTGTTCTAACAAGGTAGCCACAATTAAGGAAACGTGAGATGATGCTCATCACTGATGAGATTCTATATCAAAATGTTCAGAAATGCTGCAACAGCGTATTGAGAGAAACCCTTCCAAATATGTGTTACCACACAAACATGACCAGAAACCATTTCCAGGAGAAGCCTTCCAAAATTAATCAGAATATTCTCTACCGTAAAGATATCACTGACAGCCCAAGTAACTGACAACAGACTGTAGTAAGCAGCCAAGAACCCATCCTTTGCCAAGTAATTTCACCTTAATTCCTCATAGCTATAAACTGGAACACGAAAAATTTAGTCTAAAAAAGAAAAAAAAGTGAGTCAGATAGAAGTCATATAATATGGCAGCACGAGTGAGGAATCAGAAATCTGTGATCTGACAGATCAGAAGTGTGTACAAGTCCTCCCCATTAATCCCTGACGTGAGTGGGTCTGTCTCAGCAATCCCCTTTAAGGTAATTCTGATGACATCTCTAGGATGTCTTTTTCACAGTCCCCTGCCAAAGAGAATGAAGTGCCCAGGGAACCCAGGAGGTGAAGCACCAACGCAGGAACACCACGTCAGTGCTCTGCTCCCAAGGACTCTCTACTCATACAAACAGAGATCTCGCTAGGTTGCTTACAACCTGGCTTGGTCAAGGGTAAGAAATACATGGCCTGCATTTTGCACTAACTCCCCTCATAATTGCCAAGGTGCTCTCAGCAATGCTGTCACTCATTCTAGAATGAGACAGGAGGTGAAATCTATGCCTGTCTGTACATCCTGCCACTGTTGAAAGGCTGCCCACAACGGAGGGGTCCCAGAATAACATTTGGGATCCAGGTTAACCACATCGAGGACCAGTCCAGGCTCAACTCCTGCTTCACCTCTGTTCACCAGATTTCTGACCAGCTTTTCATCCCAGGTAAAAATGCAGCAACAGCACGGGCCATGCCCAAGGTTTTGGAAGCTCTACCATCCTGGCCATCTTTAAAGAAGCCATCTAAAGGAAAGACAGCAGGAACTAACAAATATCTCTTCTTAATCTATGCAGAAGCTCGTTATGATTTCAGCTTGAAGGTCCCATTTCCCTGCACATTTACAGAAGAATTTCAGCATTAGAAGTTGCTTTACAGTTTAATACTATTTCTGATGCCATCTGAATAAATTTTCAAGAATGCAGTGTATCTGATGTAACATACGTGAATTCCAGCTATCATTCAAGTATTCCTCTTGGCTTCCTCCTGCCACGAGATCACAACTCTGTCACAAAGTTAGGAAACACCAATAAATCAAACACAGACGGGAGCTGCTCAGGAACCGTGACAACAAATAGCAACCGGCAAATACAGCACATACAAGAAAATGTTCTAATAAGCCAGGAGACCAGAAACGGCAGACAACAGCCAAACACGATCTCTCCTTCCTCAGTAAAGATCACCGGTCCTGTCACAGAAGCAGCCGGCGCAAGGGCCGAGCGAGACGGACCGCGCTTCTCTCGGCGCAGCCCGGGGCTGCGGGGCGCCACGTGGGGCGAGCAGCAGCAGAGCGGGCGGACAGATAAACTGCAGCCGGAGCTGGGGCTGCTCAGGAACCCGCCGGGGCCGCAAAAACAGCCCGAGGCAGCTCCGGGACGGCCAACCACGGCTCCGTTCGGTTCAGACAAACCTCGCTGCAGGCAGAGCTCGTTCAGACCGCTCCGTCTGCAGAAATACCAGCACGCAGAGCCGTCCCGGAGGCGCTGACGCGTCTCTCGGTAACCAGCCTTTGTTCACGCAGCCGGCGGGCCGCCCCTCGGCACAGCGGCGCGAGGCCACATCGGATCAGCGCCCCGCGCCCCCCTGTCGCCTCAGCGACCCGCCCCGGCTCTTCGCCTCAGCGGCACCGGCCGCCTCAGGGTGGATCCCAGCACCGCGGCATCCCGCCCGGAGCGAAAAGAGCGCAGCTGAGGAACGCGGTTCTCTCCCCCGTCTCGCAGCACCGAGGCTTTACGCAGAACGAGCGCCGGGCGGCGGGACTGTGTTTTTACAACGCGAACGCCGTTGGGCATTTAACGTGTAATTACCGCAGTGTTTGCACTCCCGCTCCGTTTCTGGAAGGACACGCGTTTTCTTCCCGCTTTCTCTTCCTTCTCCCTGAGCTGTTCCTCTGTCCCAGGGAAGACCGCTGCAGTCACGGCTCTAAGCGCACGAGGGCGGCCTCTCAGCGGAGGAACGCCAGGCCGCGCATAGGCGGCACGCGCGCGGCTGGACGGCGCCGCCTGAGGGAGCAACGGCCGCGCGCGCGCCCGACGGCCGCAGGTGCTGACGCGCGCGCACGGCCAGGGCCGCGGAGCAGCGGGAGCGGCGCCAGCGATAGAAAGGCGTCGAGGGCGCCGTTAATGCGGGCGCGGTGGCCAAGTGGTAAGGCGTCGGTCTCGTAAACCGAAGATCACGGGTTCGAACCCCGTCCGTGCCTCGTGCGGGTCCGCGCCGGAAGGGATTTCTGTGGTGGTCCTTTTTAGGGGACGGCGGAACCGCCGAGACGGGACGAACCCGTCAGGATCGCTGCGGGTGGTCGGGCCGGCTGAGCCCGGGGCGCTGCGGGGGGTCGGGGCGCTCCCCGAGCGGCGGTAAGGGCGGCGCGGCTCACGCGCGCCTTCGTCCTCGCAGCGCCGTCTGGAATCGCGGCTGCGCGGCCGTGCGGAGAAACGGGCTGCGCTGCGGGGTTTGGTGTCAGCCCCGCGCTGAGGATGCCGTCGGTACCCGAGCTGCGTTCGGACTTGCCGAAGGGCGGTAACCGTTCATTTTGCCTTTGGCTTTTTTTTCTTTGAGCAGATCTACTGCCAGGAAAACGACCGGACCGTACGAACGACTCCCGTCCGTTGCACCGCCGGTCCCCACGAGGACACAAGGATGCTCCGGGGCGCTCCGCTCTACCCTGGGGAAGGAGGACGGAGAACGGGAAGCGGGAATTTGGGGAGGTTTCAGCACGCGCGGCGAGCGGGATCGCAGCCCGGGCCGCTCCGCGCTGCCGTCTGCCGGCTCGAACGTCTCCAGCCGAGGACACGAAGCGCGGGGCGGCCTCGGGGTTCTCAAAGCGAAACCGGAGAATCCGAGCGGAGGAGCCGCCCCGGCAGCGCTCGGGCTGTGCCGATTCCCCACGGAACCGCACGCGTCCGTAACGGGTTTGATTAAACGAGTTTATCCAATATGAAACAAAGCCGGAGCCCGTTGTTCTTGTTGCATTCGGAACGGGGGCGGAGGGCGCTTTGCCCGTCCCAGTGACACGGAGGAACGACGAGGAGTTCACGTGGCTGAGGGGAATTTAATTACGGGAGGTCCGCCTGTGGGAGTCACACGAATTGAAATCCATTACTCTCCACAAAAGCCAGCTACTGCGTTTTCTGTTTGCCATTCTTGGCTGAATAACGCTTTGTTAGGAAAGCACTGAGATCTTTACAGAATCAGTAGCGTGCAGCGGCACGTTTGCGCATTGCGAGCATTAATTACGCTTCTGCTTCCTATGAAGAGTTGGCGCAGCTTTGTGCTGGCCGCCCCGATGGGAGTAAAGCACTGCTGCGGAGCCCGGCCGGGAGCGGAGCGGTGCCGCTGATCGCCCCTCGGCAAAAGCTGACACGGGACGGCCCGTGAGCGACTCGTGCGCGCGGCCACGGCAGGAAGGCTTGGCGGCGGCGATGCTGGGCGGGCGGGACCGGCCGGCTGGGAGAGCGGCGCTCCGCGGAGCTGCCGTGCCCGTCCGCCCCCGTCCGCCGTGCTTCGTGCGCTGTGTGCGCGGTGCGAACACGGGAAACTCAGCACGGCGACAGACGTCCGTGAACGCGGGTAGAAATGAGGACGGGGGTTACTGATTAGCTCACTGCCCCTATAAAGCTCCTAGATCTGATCGGAGAAAGGCGAGTTACGTGTTTTACCGTTCTTCCTTTTTGAACCATTATCCGATCAAAGAAACACGAAAAGCGCTTTATCGCTCACTTGATTTTTTTTCTCCTGCGCTGGGAGCCCTCTGCAGGAAGCGAAGCTGAATGTCACAAATCTGCCCTTCCTGACGTCTCCCGAATTTCTAGGAATGCCCCTTCCCCGTTACTATATTTGGAGGTAGTTTCTAAGAAAAAAAAGCGGTTTTCAGACGGTCGCGGCCCCGATGCGGGAGGGCGGCGCGGGGCGGCGCAGCTTTTGTGGGAGCAGTGCGGGAAGGAGCGGAGCGGAGCCTTTGTGGCAGCGGGCGGTGCGGCTGCTCCGCTCATTTCCCGGATTTTTTTTTTTCCCCTCCTGCACTTTATTCTTTTTTAAAGGAAAAGGAGCTCAGGAAAAAAAAAAGAAAGAAAGAAAAAGAAAAAAAAAAAGAAAAGAAAAAAAGAAGGAAAACAAAAAGAAACCTGGATTTTTTTTTCTCCGCTTCCCCCCCACTGCCCCCCCCCCCCCCCGATGTGGCCTCTTGTTTGGCTCGTGGCGTGACCGTGATGAAGAAATGTTTCTGGGCGCCTGGCAGGGTGCTCTTTCTATGTCATGAGTCAGGATTTTGCCAACGGAAGGAGTCCGCGCAGCGAGAACCGCGGGCCGCCGCTCTCCGGACCGGGAAGCCGCCAGGGATCCCCGCTCCGCCTCGGGGAGCCGCCGGGCACCGGCACGCGGTGAGTCTCGCCCGCAGCCCGCAGGTGGGGCCGCTCCGCGGCGCCGTGAGCCGCGCTCCGCCGCGGGGTGGGGCCGTTCCGCTCCGTTCCGCTCCACTCCGCTCCTCTCCGCGCGGGGCCGCGCAGCCCCGGCCGCCTCCGTCTCTCCCTCCCCGCCGGCGCCGCTTCCCGCAGCCTCGCGCCCACGTGCCGCAGGCCGTGGGACCGCCGTGCCAGGGGCCGCCGGAGGCCGCAGGGCGCTGCAGTGCGGTGCGGTGCCGAGGGGGCGCGGCCCCGCAGGAGCCACAGGTGTGCGCCCGGCGCGGGGCGGCCATCGCGGCCGTAGGGCGTGCGGGTGAGCTGCTGTCTGCGGCGGCGCTCAGACAAGCCCGGCGACGCAAGGAGAAACGAGTCCCCTACTTCGGCTGCTGACTGTAAACTATAATGCTTTTAAACTCGGTATTTATTTAGAATTACTGTAGGAATTATAAACGGAGGATTTAGAAAATACGTTCCCTTTGTGTGCAGAGCTCTCGTCGTCCCTTAAAGTTCTGGAGGAACGCAGTGCTGAGGGCAGTGCAATGCAGACACAGCTGAGCAGCAGCTGAGCGGCCGCGCTCGGCTCGAGTGAACACTGTGCAGGGCGAGAGTCACTGCTGACACCTCCTGCAACGGTTCCGCTTTAGTTTGTGATGCAAAAGAACAGATAAACACGCTGCTCCTTTGGAAAGATGTAAATAGATACTTTGGGTGCTGACTCTGCAAATCTGCTGCGCTGGGTGAGTTCAGTGTGACTTTATGGGCGCTTACAGAAGGTCCTGCTTAACTAAACAAACAAGTCCTGACGTGTGAATAAGACTGCATAGTATCTGTTAGCAACTCCAGAAAGCAGTGTGTGCGTTGTGACTTGGATACAAGTCTCATTTATCTGTTCACAAATTAGCGACTCATAAGCAGCAATTCTCTCAATTAATTGGGCAAGCTTACAAAGATACCTGACTGACAAATTGAATCTCAGAAGGCTGTGGTTCCAGAGTCGGGGTTTTGGGGGCGAGATGAGCTTATGTTTTATCCAACTGGCCCACAAAGTCCCGCTTTTGGTGGTCACTTTGTTCTGCAAAAGAAACCAATGTGTTCTGGTCTTACAGTGGACACTAAGCTTAGCGCTGAGCTGCTACTGCACACGTAAATACACAGCAGCATTGTAACTCACACATTCCAGCAGCAGCAGAGATCACCTCTGCTCTGCTGCTCATGGAGTTTTTCCTGAAGGCTCTTCAATCGAAGCACATCTTTTTGCACTATTTCAGTGAGGTGTGCTTCACATTTTGTTAAGCAAACAGCTAGATTTGATTTTTTTCAGATACATTTTATCTCGTTCTCCACTGACAATAAAAGAAATGCGCATGTACTCATTCAAGTGCAGTTAACACAGTTATGAAGCGCGTATGACCGTGTAAGTGGCTACTGAATGCTCTGAAAGAACACAGTGAGAGTTCTGTAGGCCTTTCTCACCCAAAATTGTTCATCACCTTCTTTCCCATCGCTATGCCTGTATAATGAGCTCCTGTTTCTCTCATGTACAGTAAAATGGACAGTTTCTACTGTGATGGATGGTGAGGGTGGCCCCAGCACCACTGCTCCTAGAGCGTCCCGCAGTGCCCAGCATCAGCAATGGGACAGCTGGGATCCGTTTGTTTGAAAAGCAAGGAGGAGTTTAGAGAAGATGAAAAGATGGCAGTATGTTTGGAATCAAAATCCATTTTTCTTGAGAAAGAAACTGTCACAAATTATTGAAAAGATAATATTTAGAAAGATCGACTCCAATTATTTATCGCATTCATCATCTGTAAAAAGTTGAAAGCCTTACTAGCCGTTTTCTAAGTAAAATAAATTAAAAACTCATTTTTAGAATGACTTTTCAGCATTGCTAAAAAGCAATAAAGCAATAAATTCAGCAAAGCTTTAAAAAACAGCTTATGTGCAGTGAAGCAGCAGAGGGTTTTCCAGTGTCTTCTGTCTCTTCACTTCACAGAATCATAGAATCACAGAATCACAGGATTGTAGGGGTTGGAAGGGACCTGCAGAGATCATGGAGTCCAACCCCGTGCCAAAGCAGGAATGTTGGACACGTTACTGAAAGCAGCGAGATCAGAACCGGGTGGCATGGCTGGGGGGTTGCTCTGTGCCCTGAGTTCTGAAGCAGGGCCTCGGCATCTGACATTCCCTGACCACAAGTTACCACAGAAGAGTTTTGTGACTGCCCTCCAATACGGCCATTGGGAAGGAGAGGGTGGTGGTGGCCGGAGTTTGGCTCCAAGCCGTTCCTCAGTCCAGGCTGTGAGGTCAGTCATCCTCCCTACGAGGCTGTCTGGAGTTCGTCCAGGGCAGGAAGAGGGCAGCCGTGCTGTGATTGCTGGCCTGTGCCTTGCCCTTCCCTCGCCCTTCTAACTGTACATCAGTTAGCATGCATCAGTTAGGAGCAAGGCCTGCTCCACGCACCGAAAGAGAATCTGTTCAGATGCGTCTCACAGAGGTACCATCACCTTTTTTTGTCATATCTGCTGGTTATGAAGGAAAAAAAGACCCAGTCACATTTTTAAAAATTAAACATTAGAGGAAAAACGTTGCTCTGATGTGGAAGCTGCACCTGTGGTGGAAGAAGTGGCATGAAAACGGTTTTATTACGTGTATAAAGCCGCTTCAGAACGTGCAGCTCGAGAGTACAGCATTCTGGTGAAATGGAGGACTTCAAGTGAGTTTAAGTCACTGCTTGCCCTGTTCTCAGTGCAAATTAGTTAATAATTCATTGCAGTGTAATATGCTTTTTTCCCCAAGAGATGCAAACATTTGGGGAATTTGGTAAAAGCACAGGCATGGCGAAAAGAACAAAGAATTGGCTTTCCTGCCTTTGCTGCAGTCCAGCAGCCGGGCTGCTCCTCGGTGGCCTCTGGGTGCACAGGTGGCCTCTGGTTGTGGATTTCTTTCAGGGCTTTTCTACAAGATGCACAAAGTAAATAAAGACAATAGGAACACAAATAAAAGCACGTCTGTTACCGAGGTACTGCAGGATGTTCCAGGACTGGCCCACGAGGGTCAGTAATAGAATGTAGAATGTAGTGATTTTACAGCTGGGATATTGATTCTGTTGGAACCATCAGTCTGTAGAGTCATCAGAACCTCAGTTTTTACTTTGTTGTTGCTGCTGTCCATGTCGAAGTTTTCTTTTGTAACAAAAGGCCTTTCTGAAAGCAGGCAAGCAGCACGCAGCCCTGGCAGCAAGCGCATGGGTGCTGCTGGAAGCCACAGGAGCTGCATCAACACCAAACCAGGAGCTGCAAGATCACAGTAGTGTTTCTGGATCATGGGGACAGAAACAAAGACCAACTGGATTATACAGCACGGCGTATTAAATAACATATGAGGAATTGGTTGCTGTTGTTTGTTTTTTTCAACAACACTGTATTCTGTATGTTGTGCTCAATGGATCCATTGAGGAATCTGCCCGCTAGGTGGTAGTTAGTGTGTAGTAGTGGTGGCAGTTACTTTAAAAGAGAGGCTTGTCAATTGAATAGGCACAACAGTCCCAGTGTGCTGCTTTGCTATGGAGATTTGTAAAGAAGCAGTATGCAGCCTTGACCAAGAGGGATTCCCCTTTTTGTTTGTACTCTGAGCACACTCTCCATGTATGGGAAACTGCCCACATGACTGTACATAAAACATTTTGAAATGCTTTAAAACAAGACGTAACAGCTGTGTGATTTTATCATGTATCCCCTTCTGCTACAAACCTAACTTTGCACCGTTACTTGAAGCAAATACTTAAAAAACAGATGCAGGTCAACATTCATGTTGATTATTCCGCTTTACTTTGAAATTTTGGCTGGTGAAAGAACAAAAATAGCCCTACAATTCTGTGCAGCTCCTCTTTCTGGCTTTCCAGCACTGTCAGCGTTTCCAAGGGAACTTCATCAGAATTCGCTTTGGCGGATGGACAAAACCATTCAGTGCAGCCCAGGTGTATGGGCAAGGGATTGTTTGGAAAACCACCGTTTTCCTGAAAACTTCTGTTTTACTGAAACCCTGAAGTATTGTTGGAAAAGTGTTTTAACTCAAAAAAAATTGCTTGACAGTTTCATTCTGAATGTTCCACAGCAGTCACCACCTCCTGCATGGCTCTTTACCGCAGGGAAAATGAGGGACTTTTGGGGGCAGGTGTGTTTCCATTACACTATCATAATGCCCCTAAAAATCCTTATTGCTCTTGCAGTATTCTTCTGTGTTGCTGGGCCTGGAGTGAACTACTTGAAGACCTAGCTTCTAAGTACAGCTTCTCTCTAAAAACACTTTAAAAGAGCAACTGATTTTCTTTTATTTACCTTATTTTTGGTTGTGTTTAATGTTGCTTAAAATATAATGGCAAGATATGCCACCAGCTGTTGATAAACAGATGTCATTAAGTCATAAATGCAAGGGACATGCTGATAACTGCACGGTACTCAGCAAAAGGAACACACTTTGGCGTAAGAGCAAGAGCTGCACTCTGTTGGTGCAATGAGCGTGTTTCTAACTTAAGAATCCAGAATGTGTGTCTGAAAACTGTCACAGATTTTGCACAGATTTGAAGGAATTTGTTACAGCAGACCTCGCTCTGAATGTTAACTGCCGGTAGCAGCGCACTTCAGGCTATTTATCAAATAAAAAGATCTGCCCAGTATTTTTAGTTTGATTAAATGCGTGCACCCTCCAGTATTCCAATCACACCCCTCAAAGCCCCAAATAAAGAAATTTCTCGAGTGTTTCTCATTTTTTCAGCAGGAAAATCTCATGGGTTAAGTCGTATCCTGCAGGTCACAAGGGGAGCTTGCTGTTACGACCAGAACCCCAAGCCCTCGATGCTCAGATAGATGCTGCAAGAAGAAAACCACTGTCTCAATTACTGTGAGCTCTGCCACACAATATTGTACTCACAGACTTGCTCAAAACATGCTTACGTATCCATTCCCACATGGAAAAGCATTTCAGATGTGTGTACGGGCAGAAAGCAGCAGAAAAGCTAGACGTATTAATTCTAAATGTGCCTATCACTACCTCAGTGTTTCTGTTTGACTTGTTGATCACAAAGTGATTCCTGGCACCTTCTAATGTGAATGAAAGATGCTGGCTTAAGGCCTGTGCAGCCCTGAAAATGACCAAAATCACTTAGAAAGTATTAGATAACTGAATTATTAAAGTTGTGAATAAAGGGGTTTGATCAGTAAACTTTTAATTTCCAAGTAATGCTCCCAAAGACTCTGCAGCTGTGTTAAAAACGTGTGAGGCTGCACAGATTCTGTCATGTTCTGCAGTATTAAACATCTGCAGAGGGATCACTCCCAGAGCTGTAATTTTTATCACCTTTATATAAAAGAGACTTACTGGAAAAAGACTGGAATTCTAATTACTTTTTAGGAGTCCTCTGGGGGACTGCACTTGTGACAGCACTATATGAGAGCAGTGCGATAGATTTGAGCATTAAAGCTGATATGATTTTGCATTTGCCCTATGTTATATTCTCACATGACACATAAACTGTTAAGAATATCAGAAAAAATGTATTTTTTAACATATGCCATCTTTCATTCAACCGCTTGGAGATGCAGCCTGTAGATTTCAACAGCTGATTCTTACAACCACGCCTACTTAAAGTCAGTCTTTAGACTGTAGCAAAATCAAGATTTCCCCTGAAATGTGCATATTTAAACATGTTTATCACGTTACACCGCTGTCGAGAAAAATATTTCTTTAGAGCTGGAAGCCCTGAGCGTAAATTTAAGGAGGGGAATCAAAATCAGTTTGTGATTTATCCTCAAAGATTCAAATTCAAGTACTTGCTTCAAACTGTGTATCTTAACTGCTTATATGATTTTGATTAGAAATAGCATGTTACAAAAAGCTCAGGACCTGGTACAGCCCCAGAGGAAGGACTGCAGCACCCACCTGCAGACTGCCTGCTGAAACAACTGCGCCTTGCGACCGGCTGCGGACAGGCTGCAGTACAAAGTGCTCTGCCAGTGGTCACTGTGCTGCATGGTTGGTTTTTTAAGTATGAGCAAAGTGAACATTTCCCTTCAACTCTTCAGGATTTTGGTCTCTTTCAACTACAGGAGTCGTTAACAAGGACCAATGGATTCGTCACACTGATCTGAATGCTAGAACAGCAACAAGTAGGCAGTAGTTTTCAAATAGCACTTCCACAGTAGAAAATTTATTAAATGTTTGTTATGTGCCAATAAATGAGTAATACGAGAATACTTTCATTCTTTTACAGAATGGAAGAGCACTACCAGCATTTTAGGTTTTTATAGATGTATTGTTTTTGTGACCACCAGCAGCCTCAAAATAGATAAACAAAAATAGCAGAAAAAGACACAGAGTTGTTAAGTGGACAGCGTGTATAAAGCAGAGCAATCCTCTGGCTTCTGTGTTGAGTCTGACCGTTATTATCTCAGTTACAATAGTGTCTCCACCGTTACCTGTGCTGATTATTGCAACGCTACTCAGAATACAGCAGCAGATCCAGTTCTGCACTGAATTGTGGCACTATCGATTCTGCTTCGGTGGGTGCGGAGGGGACACCCAGCTCCCCAGGGCATGTGGCCACATCAGCGATGGACGCAGAGCTTTAGCACAGGAAGCACTGCTGCACCTGCATCGCACAAGAGCTGTTCAGAAGAGCTAAGGTACGTCATGTAGGCCTGGCACGTGCCAGGGAGGCGCCAAAGGCCTTCAGTGGGACGAGGCGAGGTGAGCTGCTGCACGCACTTGGCTGGGCGCAGCGAGGACTGCAGCAGCAGCTCCCTGCAGAACGCCGATTCCTGCCATGTGGGGCCGCGGCTCAGGGCAAGTCTGCTCTGGCCTTAACCATAATATCTTCCTACACCAGCTTTATTCCTATCTCCTCCTTTGCTGATTACCCTGTTAACAAACAGAAGCTTCCAAGAACTCAAAAAAAAGAACCAAAAAAACCCACAAGGCAGCTGTTTCAAGGCATTCCTGCCAGACAGGAGACAGCCGCGGCTGCGATGTGCTGATAACACACCTTGTGCCAACATCCCACTACGGAATGCATGTGTGAAAAAGCCACACCAATTAGTGAATTCAAGCTTCTTCATTTTCTCCAAAAGCAGGACGCTCAGTGCAGTGCCCTGAAACGCAGATGCTCATACAGTGCAGGGGAGAATGAACGCATGCCCTTGCCAGGACTGTGCAATGCCTGGGCACTGCAGCAAGTGCTCTGTGACCGTGGGGGCTGGAGGGCAGAGCCCAGCATTACTGCTGTTTGGTGGGCCTGGTTATGTGGACTTTTTATCAGAAGCAGCCTGCAAGGAAGCAAGAAATGGAGAGCCACTGCACTGTGTTTCTGCTGGCCTGTCTCCCTAAGAAAACGTCCTTGGTCAGTGTTAATTCTGCACCATATGTAACAATACCTGTAACAGCAAGTTTATCTTATTTTAAAAGTTAACTTTTCCAGTGCAGCATAATAATGGATAGCATTAACATTAGCATGTATCCCAAGGATGAATTCTCACTTCTTTTTATCAACATCACAGCAAAGAGGAAAGAGTAATTCCTGTTTCACCTATGAAACACTGAACACCACTCCCGTTTTTCACACTAGCACATCTAAATGCAGTAGGGGAATGGGCCTTTGCTCTGCCATTCTGCAGAATGCTGACACACGTGTTTGGCATTAGGTGTTAGAAAAACTGGAAAGAAGGAAGAATAATTTGAATATCTTTTGGAACTTTTTTTTACTTCAAGCTGTAACTATTCATTAACAATCTTTACCATTAGAGTTTAGAAAATGTGCTTATTCATGTAGAAAAAGACATGGGAATGAAAAACAGAACAGCACCGGAGTCCCATTAGGCTGCAGACCATTGGCAGGGTCTTCTTGCAGGAGCTTTCAGTTCTGCTGCTTGTTTTGAGTGGGGCAAAAAGATAAACACTTTCTTGTTGCAAACACTGCCATACGTGACAAGTTGATAAGCAGTATCAAGAGTTGTGCCAGAGGTTTATTAGTTCACTGGAACAGCATGGAAATGTGAGGAAAAGTTTTGTGCAGCTGAAAAATGGAAAACCATCAGTCAGTGCCCAAATTGATCTGCGGAAAAAAGACATTTTCTGTCCTCAGTAACCAGAGCTTTCACTGCTGTGGACACTTCATCTGCTGTCCTCAATGAATCTGCCTCCTTTGCACAGCCTACACCACCACGGCTGCGGTACGTGTTTTCAGCTGGTGCAGATACACATACAGGAATATAAATTACAGGAATATAAATACAGGAATATAAATTCTGTACTGATACTCACAAGCGACTATGCCACACACGTGATAAACAGAACTTCACTGGTGACTTCACTAGATGAACAATAAGCATTTTTTCCACGTTTTTGCCTTTTCTACTGAAAATTAGGCACTGTGTATTTGGACATGGCACAGAAGTGCTGCGATGCGTTCTGCTGCACGCCTCCGTCCAGCGCTCCCTCAGATCTTTCCTGCCTGTTTTTGTTCTGTAGGTACACACACCTTGAAACACGCTGTGTTTGCGTTGATACTGTCACTAACTCTGGATTTGAACTAAAATTAGCAAAAAATGTAGAGATCCTGCCTTACATATCCCAAATATCACTTTCCATTATGTTCTCGTAACAGTGCACAGCTGATAGAACAAGAAGAAACACAGAGATGATGCACAGTGATGCATTATGCACAGGGCTGCTGGCAGAAATTTGAGGTGAGCATATTAATTATGAATAATAAAAGCACAAAGAAAAAGCTTCTTCCTGCATCACAGGAGAACTTTTAACCTTCCAACTAAGGGCATTTTTGTGTATCTCACTGAAAAGCTATTTTACAAAATGCTTACTTTTTTTTTTTCCTTACAAAAGTAAAGAAATACTATTTCTGCAATCCTTTTCCCCACCAAGACAGGCTTTTAATCACCACTGGCATTTATAATATGGCAACTCTTATGGCTCTAGAGAAACAACAATCCAAAGGAGAAAAGTGTGACATATTTTGCCTGGAAAACGTTGTTACACTGACAAAGAAATATGAAGAACGTATATTAATATCCTGTCTCACAATATGGGGTAAAAGCAAAAAGAAAACCAGGAGAGAGAGGTGAAATACATACTTCTGCAAGATGGTCAGTAAAAAAGAGGCAAAATAATTATTTGCAAGACTTCAATGATTCCTACATGCCTGAAGGAGGACAAGAATAGGACTTTCTCCAGGATTTGACAATTGCTTGGCTCTGTGGAATGTAGATACCTTTGCCCATTTGTATGAGAACGTGTCCTTTGCTTTGGTTTCCCTCTGAGAGCTCATAAGTGAATACATAGGAAGGCTTTCAGGACTTACCTCCTCCTGTATTTGCACACATACAGGAGATGCACATGCAGGATATGTATCAGAACGAATAAAAAGGTGTCAGCAACTGAGCATTGCTGAGAGCATCATACGAGTATGGATGTTTGGTGAAAATAAACACGCTCCTGTCTGTCTTGAAGGAAATACAGCAGTGGCTTTTTTTTCCATTCTCACCATTCTCAAACACCGAATAGCATTCAGCTACAAGTGAGAAATTGTCTGTGTGCAGGTGCTTGGCTTCATTGAAAACATACACTTTTCTTGGTGGCTGAGCTGTTCACCATATTCACATCAGCCTACTAGAGGCAGCTCTGCCTCGCTTTTTTTCATATACTTGTAATGAGAAGAGATGAGCAGCCTGGCTGCCTACAAAGGTAGCAGTGTTTGTAAAACAACAGAAGAACAGCAGCACTGCAGGGCGCAGGCTGCCATACACTGCTTCTGCTTTCTTACGACAACAATCTTGTAACTTCAGCTTTGTGTTGCAGAAACTGTGGCTGTCCTGGAAGCATCCCATCCTTTTTTCACCAAGGGGGGCAAAAGAAGCGTCCATCTCTAAAGGTCTGCTTCCGCTTCTTACCGAGGCATGGTGCACTGCTGAAATTGAAGACAAATCCTGAAAGATTTAGATTGTAATTTGTGAAACTGTTTAAAGTATTGTGTGGAAACTGACTTTCGTAATGCAATCTGTCTACTTTTTCTCCAAACGTCACAAAAGAGAATTAAAATTTAAGTGCACTGCTATGTTTTGCAGAAGATTAAAAATTACTGTTCTTTGAGCAGATTCTAGCAGCAGTGATGGAAATTGCTTTATGTACTCAATGATTTATACTTCATTGTATAATTTGTTTTATTCCCACTGCAACTCAGCAGGATTACAAAGGCACGTATGAATAAATATGAATTTGAGATGTTGCAACTGAGTGCAGGAGCATAATGATGGTAATTCTTCCCCGCAGACCAGGAAGCTTTAAACATACATTTCCCTCAACAGAACAGTTGGATGTTATCGAAATGACTACTGTGCCTACAAGTGCCCTTTGCAGCATCATTCCCTCACTGATCAAACCATCACTGTTGGCCCAGCACACAAACCAGTGCAAAGTACTGCCCAGAAAGAAGCTTGCTGTTACCTGCCTATGCAGTTCCCACAAAAGCTGCTGCTGAAAATTCTCTCCTATCAGATGTTTCTGCACTGTGAATGCTAAGGAAATGCTAGGGAATTTGACTGCATGATTTTTAAAGAAACCAACAGGATCATCAGATTTACACAATGATTACAGTTCTGCTTGCTAATATTGATCCTCCCTTCAAAGGAAATGAATGCAAAACAAGACTGGAGTTATAATACACCAATAATGTTTTGCTTTTCTGAAAAAGTAATGATAGCTGGTGCTTTTGTATCTATTTCCTTATCATCTCTGAAATATAAGTAGTTAAAACTCCAACATAAGAATAAAGAGGGATGACAGAGGTGGCAAAGCACCTCGATGTGGATCTAAATATAACCAAGGTTGTTTATATCAGTGAGCTCTACCAAAGGATATGTGCTTATGCGGCTTTCTTGGCTGGGGAGTCAGTTTGCAATGCTCCCATGTATTGTATCCTTTATTGTTCGTATTTCAAAGGTCATTTTTGCAAGATTCTAAACCAATAAATCAAAAGCTAAATTATTACCTCAGTAGCAGAAATGGAGAAGCTGTAATATTGAGGTTGACTGAGTCTGTCAAGTAGATGTTTATTATTAGAAGTAGGATTAGATTTCATGTCATCACTCCAAATCTTGTACCCAATCTTCTTGCACTGGCGACCTACCGTAATGTACTGCATGTCAATGTGACCATTCTGAAGTGGTTAATACCCGGGGAGGAGCTATGTCCTGAACTGCCAGGTGAATGACTAAACATTTCCTAAGGCTCACTCAAGACACTGAAGACAAAATATCTGTCGTTGTTTGTCACAGTTCATATTTCTGCTGCTTCTCAGACGTGCTGTGATTCATCTCTGAGGAATACTTCATATACTGTAATTTATTTTTCTATCACGACACTCGCAGTTTGCCAAAACAGCAATTTCCCTTGTGCTGTCTGAGCATTGCTAGCTCTTCAATCAAATGTATTCTGCCTGTTTCCATCCCTGCTCTCTGTCTCAATTATTGTTTTTGTGAAGATAAGAAAACCCCATTTTTACCACTGGAGAGCCAGGCTGCTTAGGTCACAAGATTCTCTTGGCTTAATCCCTGAGCATGAATCACGAACTCTCCCTACGAAGTACTGGCATTCTTCAGATGATCAAGCCAGCTTACAAAGGCTTCCAGAGCTTTCCGCATTAATGATCACCATGTTTAAAGCATCAAAAGCAGGAGCTGATTAAGAATTAAACTGTTTAAAACTGTTTTAAACTTTTCCCATTTCCTCTGTTTCCTACACTTACGTGGCTTCAAAGTGTAAACAGCTGTGATGCAACTCATGTCAAAAGCAGTAATATGAAAAATATGATGAAAAAGATAAATGAGACAAAAATATTTGTGTGAAATACAAGAAACAGAGTTACACTTTCTGCAATACATGGCTCAGAAATAAACTGTATATGCCCATGTGGCTCGAGTTAACAAAAAGCTTTTCTCTCACGTGTAATATCAGAAATGCTGGAGGTAGCCAAACAACCATTCACAGATGATTTACAACCCCTGCTGAAAAAAAAAGTCATGCACTATTGAGACATCACAGTAGATGTCATATAATTCTATAGGCGTTATGTGAAGGTATAGATACAATGAAGACACCCCCCAAAATTATTTCTTGAGATGTGAAAGTGGAAAACAGAATATTCATTCCAGATGCAGAGCACAGAGAATTGCTGAGATAAGACTGGACACTAGTGAGCACATAACCCTGGAAACATGAAGGTCCTGGGCAATTCAAGACAGGTGTTGTATTCCTGCACCACATTCAACTACTAGATCTGATAAAAGGAGACCAAACTTGAGCCCATTCACTTTGGCTACCAATGAGATTTGTGAAACTTTTACCAAAACAGCACTTCTGCATAAAAATGGAGGAAACTATTTGAACAACAGTCCTTTCTTGTATTATTTCCAGATGTGGTGAAAAACATTATTAAGACTAATAAATACATTATACAGTCACGCAAATGTTAAACTGAATTTTTGGGCTATTTGCTGTGACAAGCATTAAGAAAAGTTTAAAGTTCTCCAGTAGCCATGCTGGGCAGCTCTTAACTCTTCTCCTTTTCCTCAGTGACTATTTTTTGCCTTTTCTTAAGGAAGCCTATGGATGTGGAAAAGGCCTGCTTAACAATTCAGACCAAAAAAAAGCAACCAAATGCTAACAGTTTGTGTTCACAAGACAGCAGAATGTCTTACCCTAATAACCATCGCCCTTAATTTTGATTTGCAGACTTCAAAATATGAACGTAAGTATTTCACTTCAGCAGGAGGGCAAAATTAAATCCTAAGGCAAAATATTTATGCTCAGAATACAAGTTCAGCAGTGGTGATGATGCAAGTTTAACATTTAACACGTATCTGTTTAAATTGTTTCATTTCCTTCTATGCTGTTGACGATTTTCATTTAGCTGCCTTTTTCATGATTGGATGATGTCTACCTTTAACTAGAATTCTTACCAAATCTGCCTCACTACCAATCCAAAGAGCAACAGAGTCAATTCTCTGTTCAGGACAAAGATCTCAGCATGTTACTTTTATGTATCAGTAAGAGAAAAAACGATAGAGGAAACGAACCAGGAGAACAGAAAAACAAAATAAGAAGTGAAATCCAAGTTTCTAATGCAAAGATGTAACGCCAATAAGCCGTTCCAAAGAAACCGACGAGCTGCCAGCTTTTCTACCTGTCGCCAGGAAAACATGGCTGTGTTCACTGATGCTATCAATAAACCGGGTGTGTTCTGAAACAACTCTTTCTGAGTGGTGCCAGCTTCTGTGAATGGGGAGGGAGCTTTGCTCCTGTAGAGCACCACTAGGAAGATGGTTCTGGGCAAAAAAGCAGGTATGGGACAAGCTTGGTTAACTCATGTACACAAACTCTGTAAAGAAAAATAAATTAACAGTTGAAAAGAAAAACCTTGTTGCCTACAGATTGGTGCAGGAAGCACAGGACTGTAATTTGCATCTCTGAGAACAGCAATTTGCAGGGCAAAAAGTCTTAATGGCTGTTTTTTAATACCCTATAATAGCAGGTTTGTACTCTTGCCGATTTGTTTTCTTTAGAAAAATAAAAGACTAGTGTTTTGTAATATTTTCTTGCTAGATTTTTAAATAATTGTCATTACAGTTATCCATGCTACTAAAGATATTTGCATATTTGCATAACTATGTCAGTAAAAGGGCAGATCACACTAGCAAACTTCTCCCACATCATATCTTGTTCAGCCCTCAGACACTAAGATTCAGTACAGGCTGTCTATTCTATTTAGCTCCTCAACAGTGCTCTGCTATCTCCTACTTGCTTTTCTGCCAAACTTTCACATTTCATGTTTATAGCAGAAATGCTGAGTCGTGGCCTGAAGCAGTGATGGAGCACCTGGTGGGAAGGAGGGCAGCCCAGGGAGCTCAGGTGCATGCAATGCAATGCAATGCAATGCACTGAGTGATGGAAGGGTGGAACCAGGATCCACCCCTTCCCTGCCCTCACAGGCTGGCAGTGAAGGCAAGGGGATGTCATTGGAGATCCCTGTGTACCTGAGGTCCTCCAAAGGTCAGCAGTTTTTCTTCCTTTGTTTCTGCACCTATAGCTGCAGCCTTTGGACTTGGTCTCATTTTCTGCAGCCCAGGATTGTGTCACCCTGCTACTATTGCTGTACTTTCCATCACATTATTAGCATTACAAGGGTTAAGGAAGAACTGGCTTTACTTCATCAAATCCCAGTTTTGTGCTCCAGCTGGCCGTGCTAAACATGCAGCGGTCCTCTCAGATGTGAGGTCTTACAATCCTTTCTATATCACAAAAGGTCTGGATCACCTCATAAAACTACAAGAGGGACCTTGTTTCCAAGATACTTACTAATTTTCACTAAAGGAAATATGGAATCCCAATAGATGACTCTCAAGTTTTCATTTTACTCTCAGTAGCTCCCTTACTTGTTTTTATGCATCCTAAATAGCTTCCTGTCAAACCACTCGAAGTAAAGACATCGCTGTAAAGACTGAACTACTGCTGTAAGCACCACTCTGCTCATCCTTAGATTCAGAGCTCACCAAATCAATGCTGACCAACTTCCCAGCGACCAACCTTCCCAATGCTGACCAACCTTCCCTTTTCTATAGTAATCTCCGTGGCAGCGCAGTCTTGTTAACACTGGAAATTTCAGATTCATTGCAGTATCTTTGGGACAGAGAGGGGCTTGAGGGGAATTAAAGCTGTTGCATTTCTTTTGGAGCTAAGTGGAGAAACATTCTGTACCAGAAGTATTCTGTGTCACTGTCAAGCAGAGGGCATGACTGTCAGCTGTCGAGTGACTCCAAGCCAGAAAGAGAGCTCAGGCTGTTTGTAAGCTAAATTCTGAAAAGTTATTCACTCTGAACAGAGTTTTCTAATCATAGTATGAGACTTTAAGATGACTACACCCCAAATTTACATGCCAGTATCTAACGTGATGGGAGACACCATGTAGGCTGTGAATTGGTTAAATAGACTGCGTGAAGAGTGAGGAAATGTTATTCAGCTCCTCGTAAAGACTTCTTTTAGTTTTCTCACATTGGAGAATGTGAGCATTGAATAGTGCAGGGGAGTATTTCTGTTCCTGTTGGGTTCTTTTCTACATACAGTAACAGCAGAACACGCAGGCTTCCTGCTGACAGCACACTCTGGAGTGAGCATCTGAAATACCTGGCTTGCATGCTCCACTTTTTTCTTCTGTTTAAGCTTGTTTAGCTAACAAATATCAGGTTGGAGTCATTCACCAGATAGAAAACTCTGCTACTAACCTAACTCCAAAACAAATTTGGAAGCTGGGCCAATCCACTCTTGCTTTCCTAGCTTTATGCTCTCTATTGCGAGTGCAGTGCACAAGTGGCCAGTATCAATATGTCCAGGTGGCAAATTAATGATCATGGCTGCTCTTCCTGACACTGACTGATTAATTCTCATACTTCTGAGCCAAGCTTTGGTTTCTTGACAGTTTGTTTAGCGAGGAACGAGTAGTTCTCTGTTGATACTGATTCATTCCTGATCACTGTTATTTCTCAAGCTGTCAGTTTGGACTCAAATGCAACTCGTCAGATTCTCGCTACTCAGCGGTTTCACTTGCTATAGACTAAAGAGCAAATAAATTATCCATGGTTTTATGTTCCGTTACCTAGTCAACCACTTTCTTGTTAAATAGGCAGAAAAGTAGGGGTTGTAATCTCCAACCAATATGGCAAGATTTTCCACGTTGCACTTAGGATAGTATTTATTTTGAAGTAGTCTGAATATGACAGTGGACATAAATACTAACATTATGTAGTACTCAAGTCCTGGAAATCTTCTGGACCTGAATGTTTCATTACATCCTAAGCTTTGTGGGTTAGTTTAGACAACAGACTGATTTTCTTCAGAGCATGGTGAACTACAGGGTGCAAACCAGCTCCCGAAGCAGCTTATTTTCCTGAAAATCACAAGTGCCTGGGAATCCCCGTACTAAATTCATGAAGGTGTGAAACTCTGCCTGCTGCTCTGAGGTCCAGATAGAAAAAAGTGTCTAAATTACTTTTCTAATATGCAAGCAGTAGATTGCTGAGAAAGACAAGAGCATTCAGTGCTCCACAATGGCTCCAGATTTCTTTGTATTACTGGGAGTAAACATCAGCTCTGGTTTTATGAACAGTAATTCAGTATTTCTCTGTAAGCGTTCCTGATGAAAAACCATGTCTTCATTTTACTGCATTTTTACTTTTCTGACCTTTCCTATCTGGGACAACATATTTGTACTTGGTGAGTGTTCCAAAGACGATGGCTTTATTTCTTTCTCACAATTCTTGTGTGACTAGGAGAAATTCTTTAGGAATGAATAGAAGCTTTTTGGCCTACAAAACTTGTCCTTTTTTGGTTCTGACTTTCTCACATGATGTCATGCAGTTATTTTTCTGAACGATTTCAACGTGTTTGCCTCAACAAGTCTCCTATTTTATTATTATTATTATTATTACACTTCTCATCTTTTTAAAAAGAAAACTCCACTCTTTCATTTTAAAGAACACTGCTGTTTCCCCTCCACCCTCTCTCATTTTGGTTCTCCGTTATATCTGGGAGATGCACGTCAGGAATACGTAAGGTGATACGCACCCCCTATTCTGTAAAAAGCAGTTTTGTGTCTCCTGCTGCAATGTCTGTATTCAGTGCTCTGGCAGTATGAAGCTGTGCAGATAATCAGCAGGCCTTGTGCACTACTTGAGTTGTATCACTTTTCAATCTGTTGTTACCACCATTTCCCTATTCCATTACAATATGATTATGAAAGCATGACTATGATTGATACAGCTGTACTGGTGGGAATTTTAAGAAGTGCTTCCCCAAAAGAAATTACATTTCTGAAAGGCAAAGTACCAAAACAAATGGAATTCTGAAAGAAAGAAGATTTTCTCAGAAGGATTTTTTGTTAAGAAAAATGACAGATAATTCCTTCTGATCTGGCTTCAGAAATGAAAGGGACAAACTCCACATTGCTGAAATTAAATTTTGGATTGCTAAACTGGAATTTGGCAATCTGGAGTTTGGAATGATAATTTCAGATAGCAAACCTGACTTCGATAAGGAGATCATTCATGGCACTGACAACCTTCCTGCCCAGTTTTTTGGTGAAACAAATTTGTTGATCTAATGTTAGTTTTTTGATGCTCAAATAACTCCACAGTATTTCCTGAAAAGCATGAGGACAAGCACTCTGCTTCTGTAAGGACACTTTTTCTGTACTGGGAATATATATGGGAATATATGGAATTGAAATAGCTGTTGTGTGCCTGTTCTGCTGCTTTAGGGTCGGTGCAGCCAGAAACAAGCCCAGCAAGGAGCCCAGAATCCCTTCAGTGACAGTTCTGTGCTGGAGAGACAGATCCTTTCCAAGCAAGCACCGCCTGTACATGGGATGGCTGTTTTGGAAGAAAGAATGTATTTGTAGATGACTTAGTGA